GCCCCCAGGGGGCCCCTCATCATGAGAGGGGTTCGGCTGCGGGCGTTTCCGTGCCTTGGGGGAGGCCCAGCCTGCTCTAGGAGACGTGGATCCAGCAGCAGCAGCAGCAGGAGCAGCAGCAGCAGCAGCAGCAGCAGAAGGTGCTGCTGCAGTTGCTGCAGTTGCTGCTGTATTTGCTGCCGTTTTGTCGTTTGTTTTGTTGATTGTTTTTGTATTTACTTTTGCCTCCTCAGCAGCCCCTCGCATGCGGCTGCGAGCAGCAGGAGAAGTTGATCCCCCCTGTGACGGCGATGAACTGCTGCTGCTGCTGCTGCTGCTGCTGCTGCTGCTGCTGCTGCTGCTGGCTGTTTCATCGACGAAAAGAGACAGAGGCGGGGGCAGGTCTGTGACACCCAGAGCAACAAAACTCTCTGCGGGGCCCCCCTCTGTCTCGGTACCCTCCAAGCCGAAGCGGCAGAAGAGCTGGCGAGGGTGCAGCATCTGCTTAGCAGCAAACTCCAGCTGCTGCCAGTTTAGTTCAATGTGTACACGATGCCCACCACCACCAGCTCCTGCTGCTGCTGCTGCTGCTGCTCCTGCTGCTCCTGCTGCTCCTGCTGCTGCTCCTGGCGGTGGTGCCGCTGCTGCGGCAGCGGCGGATGCGCCGAAGTCAGATACTCTCAACGACGCGCCGCTGCTGCTGCTGCTGCTGCTGCTGCTACTGTTGCTGCTGCTGTTGCTGCTGCTGCTCGCACAGGCCCTGCTGCGAGCTGCGTATACTACCCGGCCCCCTAAATGCAGAAAAAGCAAAAAAAACAAAAAAAAAGAAATGTAGTAATGAGAATGAAAAAATAAAAATGTTAAACACCAAAAACAACAACTACAATAACATAATAATAAAAATAATAAACATAATAAACATAATAAAAACAATAAAAATAATAAAAATAATAAAAAAAGAAAAGAATAGACTCACCATAGTCTGGGCTTGTGAGGTCTACCCCGTATGCATGCGGCAGCAAAACACAGTTTGTATTCCCCCACTTTGCATGCAGCTGCTGCCAGCCCCAGGCCTCGCCAGGCAGCAGAAACACGAGCGGTTGCAGCT